TGTCGAAACTGCCAGACGCGGATCGCGATTTCGATCTTTTTGGATCTCATCAGCGCGTCGCAGACAGCTCCGATAGAACACAAACCAACTTTTACCTGCTGTCTTAACAGTGCGTTTTAGAAAATACCACAAATGGCGCGGTAAACGCCATCTGTAGTACGATGCTACATTTTAGGATTACGTATGTATACATTTCCTAGGAATTATATACAATTCCTAAATTTTGTACATTTCCGGTAACATATACATTAATATTCTGTTCAAGTTGTATTGAATAATTTACATATAGAAACGTTACTGAGAGATTATCTACATGTGAAGCGATTATTAGGGTTGTATCTATTGTACTACGACAATAGGAAAATTGGTGGAAACGTATTTGGTATGCTGTTCAGACCACTCTTAATAAGCGTGTGCCTGAGGTGGCGCGGCGGTACCTTTGCACCTTTGGTAAGGGTCATAAAACAGACGCACCGACGACATGCACAGATTCGAGCCGTAAAATAATCCATCTAACAAGAAGCTTTCCGGATATATCAGGCTTCTTTGAACCTGAACAAATATGTGGCAGGTATTATCCGATGGGTGAAAACCGGGTTAAAGACATGATACGAATAGTGCGAAAACGACAAGTCCAAGACGTGATATAGACTCATCACAAGTAAGATGAATTTGCAATACTTAAAATAAATAATTGTACACATTGCTATTGTGCAAAATAAATTGGTTTTACACAAATCTTGTTTAGAATATTCGTTACTATACAAAGTTATAGCACGATATTGACACATAGAAAAGAGAAGAGAGAAGAGAGAAGAAAAAGAACACACACACACACACACACACACACATCTAATGTAAATAAGAATAACAATTTTGTTAATAAAGCTATTATCTATCTATCATATCTTCATGAATTATAAAAGTGGAAGCAGAAATGATAACAATTATTGTTAAAACGTAAAGCAGAAATTGTTATTACTATTAAAAGTTATCACAACCTTCAGCAGGTACTTATGGCGACGAGATATGATAGATAAACTTTCAGTTGGTGAAGTTGATATTAAAATATGATGATACTATAACTCCATATTCAGATGTATGCCATTTTGCGATATGTATTTCCGTTTAATATACTACCCCCGTTTGAATCTTTTGAAATATTCATCCCTATTGCAATATTAAAAGTAGGTTAATTTTCAATTTTATGATTACTTGACGTTGAACTCTCAGTTCGCATTCGATCACGAGAAATCGCATTGCGCTGTTCATCAAATAATTGATAGCACACGTAGCAATGCACAACACAAAACGACTGACGTCCATTGTATATATTTCGTATATTTTGTCATTGTCCGTTCGTTCGTTCTTTGCTTTGTCATCGGCGTTAGCGTCGGCGTCGGTCATCGTATTGAGTGTCATTATGTATAATGTAGCGAATTCAAAAACGACCCGTACATTTGCACATGCTTATTTACATAGTCGACTGTCATCAAGCTAACTAGGGCAAGGCCGTTTCCTCTATTCCCGATTGCATTCGGAGTATATAAATTGAATAAAGGGCCCGGACCCGGAAGCAAATTGCATTTTCGTTTTCACAAAATGCGACGAGCTGATGTTTGAATATACGAATCTATATATTATGTATATGTAGTGCGATCAAAATGTTACCAGACTAATGAAATTGTCCTTTGGATATCGTATTTTATCGAATAATAGTTCTTTTTCTTGTATGAGTAATATAATGGTTCATTTTGGCAAAAAATTAGTTTGAGTAAAGAAAGAAATGAAATTGATTGAGAAAATATCAGATTCATTATTATCTCCATGATTACGACGATATATGCGATTTCTTTTTGCAAAAAGCGACTGGACACTGACACTGCCTGTATCTTTTAGTTTTTAGTATCCTATTTTCCTATTAGCTCTAATCCTACTAATTAGAACAGCTGACCAACGTGTATTGGTAAAATTGAAATAATTCTCTTAAATTCATAATATTATCATAGAAAAATTAGAAGAAGTGACTGGTTTTAGGTATCTAGGAGATAAGTCGGGACGGAAGGAGTAGTAGGGATATAAAGCAGAGGATAGCGCAGGGTCGAGTCTCCTTCAGTAAAAAAAGAAGTCACTTCTATGCTCGCGAACGGTTAATTAAGAAATTCAAAAAAGATTGTTAAAGGTGTATGTTTGGAGCTCGACGCTGTACGGGTGCGGAAAAGAAAAGGTTAGAAGCCTTCGAAATGTGGTGTTACCGGCAAATGATGAGGATACCGTGAATAGAGAAGGTAATAAATGAAAAAGTATTCCAAAGAATAGGAGAACAGAGGACTCTATGGTCAATAAGAAACAGGCAAGAAAGGTTGGTAGGACGCCCTCTCAGGCATGAAGGTTTAGTCAGAGACATATTGGAGACAGAAACGGGAGTTAGAAGGGGTAGAGGTAGATGAAGATTAGCTCAGTATAGGAAAGAGTGGAGGTGCGTGTCCAACCAGTCTTAGGACTGACGACTCTATAATAATCATCGTCATCATAATAGGGTCATCAGTTCTAAGACTGGTTGGACACGCATCTCCACTCTTTCCTATCCTGAGCTAAACTTCGCATTTCCATAAAACATCCTTAACTATTTGCAAATAGTAATCTAATCTAGTTCAACCTTTATTCCTCTTAACTCCTGTTTTTTCCTCTAATATGTCTCTGACTAGACCTTCATGCCTGGGAAGGTGTCATACCCAACCTATCTCACCTATTTCTTAATGACGCACCTCCACTTTTTCTTATCCTGAGTTAATCTTCGCATTTCCTTAAAACTAGAACATCCCACATCCTTAACTATTTGTGCACAGTCATCTAATCTAGGTCTACCTATACTCCTTCTGACTTCTATTTTTCCTTCTAATATGTCTCTAACTAGTCCTTCATTCCTGACAAAGTGTCCTGTTTCCTGTTGGGTTAAAAAGTAGAGGCGTCAGTATACCTATATCCTTGTCTGACTGCCTTCCTACTATTTACTTCTGTACGTTGCTGCTCAAGTTCTATAAATGTCTGTTGCTTTTTATAGAATCTTTTTAAACTTTTAAAGCTAAACATCAGCTTAGTAGTTTAGGCATTTTTAGTTACACATCAATATTAGCTTTTGAGATAGTCATACTTGCGTATAGGTAGGTACATGTACGAGACCTAAACATGTGTTTGTTAGTATATACTACACGTACACGATAGGCAACCTAACGAAATTCCATTCGATAGCACGCCACTGCTTGCATTCCAAATTCCGCCAAATTCCAGAGCGCAATGCGATTGTCTGGATCGCATGGCCTGTCACGATACAGCCTTAAACTAATGTTCAATATTTGTTCCACATATGCGCGGCTCTTAATTAACTCTAATTGATGCGAACAGGTATGTGAAGCAATATGCAGGCAAGGATTGCCTATTTAGTATTAACCAAAACTAAATGCAAGTAGGCAAACGCGAGCATATATTTTGCGACTGAATAATGAAATTACTAAAACGAAATCATCAGCGAAATTATTAAATTGAAGCAGGAAATTGAGATTTTCGAATTAATAATTAAATAACTTCAGCTAGTAGTATCTACATATGTACGTACATACAGTGGATTTCGTATATAACGACCACAACGGGACCACTATTATATCCGGAAGTCGTTAACACGCAAACGTTTTCGATTTTGAAACGATTTTCGCCTTTTTTGAATAGTAAATGTGCATCTAGGAGTCATACTTATTCAAAAGTTTACTAAATACAGTTGCTACTTAGAATATAATTATCTATCTGCCTGCCTAATGTCTATAAACAAACTGTAATGGTCACCACACTTGCTGACTATCTGTATGGATGTAATCAAAAGATAAGAAAGCTTTTTGTGTCTTTGGCGGACGACTTCGGTTGCTATATCTGCATACGATTAGTAGAGATTTGTTACAAATGGTTTATTAAAAAACAGTCGCTACACTCGAGCTCGGTGTTACATGCGAAGTCGCTATAACCACATGAATTTTGTACTAAAGTATGCCTTAAATTCAAGGGACTTTGCTATAGTAAAATAGTCGCTATAAACAAGGTCGTAATAAATGAAATCCACTGTAATTACTTAGGGGTGGAATCGTCTTATACTACAGTCGCTTCGCTTCGTTTTAAATTTGCCGGTTTTGAATTATGAAGTCAAAATTGTAAATCTTTATCACCTGAACAATAAATCTGCTAATCGTATGCCTACCACAAGGAAAAGACAGATACCCTTATCTTTCTCGGCTAGTCGCAGACAACGAACACTGCTGGTATTTTATAAACGTTGTGCATTTATCTCTCTTTTTTAAAAAATTATTTTATTAATCTTAAATACATTACAGTGACGTTCACATCTTTGTGGTAGGATTACGGGTTAGTAGAGTTATTGTTCCAGTAATAAATAATAAAGTAAAACATTTACAATTTTGACTTTATTATCCAAAATCGACAAAATTAAACAGAAGTAACTATACGTAAGTAAATGATAAAAAGGTTGGACTTTTTAATTATGTTTTTAATATTCCGGATATTTCATAACCCAATGGCGATATCAAAGGAAAGATAAGTGGAGTAGCGGAAACAGAGTAGTGTTACGAGCAATTACCTGCGGCTGCCAAAAACAATCGGGTGATAAGTCAAACTGCTTTATTACCAACTGCGGTAGAACGGCAATCCAGAACAAGATAACAGCATTTAACTTCTCTTTTCCATTTCGCGTTTTTTCATTGTTGATCTGAAAACAAGAAAGACTGTGATAAGCGGGTTAATTCAATTATAAGCATAAAGAAAAATATGTATTATAGAAATTCATTCAATATGAAGACGCATCAGACACATGAGATTGACGCACTGTTTGTAACGCAACCCTCCAATGATGCAATGAAAACTCAATTGATTAAATAGTGTCTGACATTTCTAAAAGTAAAGGCGCGTTTACGTCTAACACGAACGCGAACACAAACACCAACACGTTCGAGGCGAGGCAGAATATATGCCTCGTATGAACCCTGGTGAGCCCTAAACGAAGTTAGCCGAACCAACGAATGCGGCGGCACTCAGTTATGCGCCGTATCAATCATCAGTGTCAAATCACATTTCCTTCGAGGTAGTTCGTCGCGCCTCTGTTGTACATTCGCAGACATATTCGTGCACAGATGTATACGCACCTTAACGAAAAGCTTTTGTGGATTACAGATGCGTCAGCACCCTTTTGGAAACAGTTTAGACCAGTCTGGGGCTATAATTAATTTTAGTTGTCGGTTATCAATTAAAAAATATATCGATATTCGAATATGTGAATAACTCTTGTTAATATATACATAATCATATCGCATTTGTACGCTGGTAGATTGTTGGTACGAAATCTGCTAATTGCTATCAATAAGGAAACATGAACAATGCCTTTATCCTTAAGGGGTTCCCCTATTATCAGTAGGCAAAGATCGGTTTCAGATTCAGACTTTAGATCAGTTCTAGTTTACCAAATCTATCCACCATGAAATAAAAATTGTTTTATGTTGATAGATCTAAATAACTATCGACAATTATCGAATATATCCATCGTTTTGCACAGAATTAGTCTACGGATGCTGTAGCAACAAGCATGTAGCGTGAATTAGTACCCAGTGTATGTAATAAATCTATTTCTTTTAATATGAAAACCGAAATAAGTATCTAATAAATTACTACACACTATACTTCATTTACTTTCTCTAGCGATGTGCCCCTTCCAATATGTTGGATGCGCGCTGGCAAAATCGTAGGTAGGGAGATAAAAGGTCATTATACTCTCGACTCTTGTTCATTAAACATACTTTTTCATACAGTACCTGCCAAAAGTTTTGTTCAATCATGAATAGTAGTGCGAGTCGAAAACAAGCGTTAAAGCCTTTAACATGTCTTCAAATATAAATAAACATCTCGTTGATATTTTCAGTAGAAAATGGTACCAATAACAGCACATTTGAGCAATGCAATTGTAGTGGATAAAATGGTCAATTTTTCCGTGCAGTACTGTACGGATTATACGCTCGTCACCGGTTAAGAGTTTGGCCGAGAATTGTCTCCTTTCTTGTCTGGCCTAGTGCTGTTCTTTTCTACTTTGCGCCGGTCAAACTGAAGGTCACATCGCTACAGAAAGTAAACGAAGTATACCTAGATTCATGTTCTAGGTTACATCCGCTTTAAAATTCGAGTAACGTCCTCGGAAAAACGAACGAAAAATCTGCACATATAAGAGGGAATTTTCTCTTTAGCCGCCACTTTCACAAGCATTTGAGTCGGGTGATAATTCTTGATGTCACGCTATCAACGTTTTTTCTCTTCCTAACGTAACGCCATCGATTTCATTGACAAACAATGTCCCCAAAGCGACGCGAGAAAAAGGAATTGTCTTGGGGGCTGTTGAAAGAAGGGTGAAATAGCCAGCGCCGACTGGGAAACAAGGGATTTATTCGAATACGAACACGTTTTAAAGAGCAAACATAAATAACTTTGCCGTGTAAACACTTCAACGGTTGTCACATGACAATGTTCTGCTGATAGGATAAAAAAATGTGTACAACGTGTATTAGTGTTTTATATTGTACCAATAGTGCACTTTGTATTTTCAAATGAATTTAAAGACACAGACATTGAGTTCTTCTTAGGAAAATTATAAAGCAAGTGGTTTTGTAGTTGAAGACTAAAGTTGGTACATCCAATTCAACATTACACTTAAATGGAAACGATTTGATTTATCACAATTTCCCCATTCCATTTTAAAATTTTAGAAAAATATATGGACCATTTCAGTTCGGTTGTTATCATCTATATTTGTACCTAACAGAAATCTAGAAAGAGTGCAGGATGACTAGTCACAAAATGAGATGGCTTAGCATACAATCGGGAACCTTTGGTTTAAAAAATTTTTTTTGAAGCGGTAGATTAGAAACGGAGAACAGAGGACTCTATGGAATCCAAAAAAAAATAGGCGAGATAGGTTGGTAGGACACCTTCTCAGGCATGAAGGTTTAGTCAGAGACATCTTAGAAGCAGAAACAGGAGTTAGGAGGGGTAGAGGTAGACCTAGATTAGAATACTGTTCGCAAATAGTTCAGGATGTGGGTTGTTCTAGTTTTAGAGAAATGCGAAGTTTAGCTCAGGATAGGAAGGAATGGAGGTACGTGTCCAACCAGTCTTAGGACTGACGACCTTATGATGATGATGATGAGATTAGAAACATATTTGGTGCCAGTAAGAGGCGTTAAGGGGGGCAGGAATAGACAGGCCAAATAACCGGGCTTATTATCATATTATTCATTAGGCACATTTCGATTTGGAATCAAGCTATCACCGTAATTTAAGTTTACTGACATGTTATTTATTACCTTTTCTTTTGTTTCTACAAATATCTAGAGAATCTTTAGCCAATTTCACCTGCGTAATTCCTCAAAGCCATTCGCTTATCAGATAAGTACTTCTTGAGTCTCCACTCGGTCACTTTCATCAGGTTACGGCCCATTTAGCTTGAATTAAAACTAAAACTCGCTCGTTCCTCTCTAAGACTATTTCCTTCCAGTTATCCTTCTGAATTCCAACTTACTGACCACAGATTTTGAACAGGATTAAGAAGTTAGAAGAAGATTAGTCATAAATTAATATAAAATGCGAAAATGAGGGAAGAAAATATAACATATGCATTATTGCACATTCAAGTTTAAACTATAAGTCCATCAGTTGAACAATGTGTAAATAAATATTGGTCCTACATCCTGATTTGTTTATTTGTTTGTTTGCTACGGCTTAACTACTCAACCGATCATTAAGGAATTTGGTAAAGGTCTAGATGATGGCCCCCCACCCCTAAAGGTGGGGGGTAGGGGGATCGAAAGAGGGTGGTCACCTGAATAAAACTCCATAACAAATTTGCGGCGGTCTCACCCCCATAAAAAGTTATGGGGGTTGAAAGTTGATTATTTTGACAATTTCATACACTATAATTCAAATAAAATTCAATAAAATAAATATTTTCAAGCGGGTGGAGGTGGGGGATCGAAAGAGGATGGTCACTTGAACAAAACCCGATAACCTAACCTAACCTACCCTATTGATAAAGATATTTAAATAATGTTTTATATAACTTTCTCAATATTTTTATGTATTTTTCATTAGTTTTACCTTTGAATATTGTTTAAGAATGACTATATAAATATTTACATGCCTAGAAATATATAAAAATTGGCATATTTATTAATTTTGAACCTCCATAAGTTTTTATGGGGGTGAGACCGCCACGAACTTTTTATGGTACAGTGGTGGGGGAGACCCCCTCTTTCGATCCCACCCACCCCCATCATCTAGACTTTTACCAGGAATTTTATACACACATTGTCAGGGGTGCAGAGAAGGACATAGAGTACCGTTTATCCCCAACAAATATCGTTCCTGAGGGATAGTAAAATAAGGAGTATGTGGTCGTCGATGATCTTTGACAAGTATTTAGCACATCAGGTAAAACCTATCATGAAATTTTGTACACACTTTGTCAGGGGTTTAGAAGAGGACATAGGGTACCTTTTATCCAGAAAAAGAATATTGTTCCCTATTCTGTTCGCGGGTAAAACCCGGTAGCATATAAAGGATAAGTTATGGTTTGTTTTACCGACCAAAGAATGTGTAATTTATTCTAATGTTTCGTAAACATTTTGCCATATCTATATACCTAACCAACATGCAAATAACATAAAGCACAATTTATATTTATTGAGAATTAACTTTCTTGATATATGCTTACTAATCTACGGAAAACAAAGAATTATTCTAACAATAAAAATAAATCAATTATCTTCTGTTTTCCTTTCTCGCTATTCGCCGAACGAAAGAAGTTTTATCTCATAAATTCGTCTGGAGAAAAAAACAAAAACAAATCATCGGAGTAAACGATTTCATCGCACTTTCTTAGAAACATCGAATCGGTTCTGATAATTATGTAGCAGTTATTTTTCATCCGAGAAAGGACGAAAGAAAAAGGACCGAAAGGAATAAGAGAAACTGGTTGAATTTCTATATCATCCTTCGCGTCTTTAAGATAACACGATTATTCTCTTTAATGCATCGGTCTTATTTTCGAAGAGAGAGAGAGAGAGAAAAAATGAATCACTTAAAGGACATTCAATTCCTGGCGCGACCTCGTTTAATAAATGCCGGGTAATAAAAGGTAATGGCAAATATCACGGCGGAGCTACGATGTCAGAAAATTTAGAAATATAAAAAAAGCGGGAGAAAAGCAATAAGATGGGTTCTAAAACAATGGAAAACCACTCCGTTATCCATTACGATGGAATTTAAAACAAAGAATACTGTCGGATCTTAGGACTCATTTAGTCTGAGGCCGTTTCCGACGAAATAGGAATCGACTTTTAAAAAATTAATATCTACATAAAATTCGCAAATACCTAGTTAGGATGCTCTAGTTTCCAAGAAATGCTAAGACTGACTCAAGACAGCAGGTCCATGTCGAACTAGATGATAGTAATTTGAATATAGAAAATTGTTTAATTATTTCTCGATAAAACGAACTTGAAATGATTTAATGGAAGTTTAATTTCTTGCCTGAACAGAATATCTTTTGAGTGGAATAACGAGAAATACATTATTCAAACGTTCTGTATAATGTACCATTATGACATTTCAGTTCTTAGTTATGAAACAAGTTCTTCATAAATGTCTAACAAAACGTCTTGCGTGAAAGAA